TACATTTCAGGTATATTACAATGCTTAAACAAACAAATGGCTTATTTTACAGTCTTAATTTTATGAACACAATATGGCCAGCTCTGGCATCGCATTGCAGTGAGTATTATTTTTTTTTTTTGTTTTCATCGTTACATGGATCTTACAATTGTTTTTTAGGATGTACATTTTATATAATAAAATACATTCATTTTTCACTTAATTAGTAGTGGAGAAAAAAGGGTTAAACTCCATTACTCTTAGTACCTTTTTATACTTACATGCCAATATTTATACGCATTCTTCTTGGATTTAAATCCGTCAAGTATTCGGCAATTTTCTTCAACCCCATTGTCTTTTAATTTTTTATAACATGTTCCAACAATTCACAGTGTTAGTCTGTTTCACCAACTTAGCTCTGGAATTTTTAATGATTTTTTCGCAGTTCTTAAAATCTCACATTTTATCCAAGTTAGACCCTTAGAATCGTAAATTTTACATCACAGAATAGAAAGTGTATAGAGGGAAGTGACTTTTTCTCCGATTGTCGATGCTAATGCGTTATACACATACGTTAAGCACTTGGTTCCCTATTCTTATATAGCGTACACAATAATATGATATTATGTAGTATAGCATACTGATAACAATATAGCTCGATATAAATACAATGTATAAAGCTAGAATTGTTGCCTATTGCTGCTTAACAAGTAATGCAGAATAATCGAGGTTGACAATGGTACTTGAGACAACCTTTTTACCATTTTCTTACCTTCCTGTCAACTAGTAAATGTATAAGGAGAAAGGCGGTCTATATTCATGTTATTAAAATTTAAATCTAGGGATAAAAATATTTTTACTACTCTTTTAATGGTCCAATAAATATTTATTCGCGCTGACACTTGAGCATGCACTGAAACAAATATTCTTACAGAATTTATCTTTGAATTTTTATAATATATCTCAAAAAATAAATTATTTAAATGCTTTAATATCAAACCAAACGCAAAACTAGATTTTAATTTTAAAATAAAAATAGTGATTAAAAAAAGTTTATTTTATTATTAAAAAATAAGGCTGCTTGATATTAAATTTTGTAAATGTTTTATTAAAAAAATATTTTTAAAGTCACTTCTTGATTTATAAATATTTTTCATGGAAAAAATTAATTTGCTTAATAATCATAAAAAAAAGTATCCATTCCACTATCAAATCAAAGAAATACAATCCATTTCCAAATAAAACACTTTTTGATAATTTATTTGTCCATATTTGTATTTCATTTATTTTATCACTGTAACGTCGAAAAAAAGAAATCGGATATTCATCTGGAGCACGCCTGCAAATACTCACTACGCAATTTCGTATAATATCAATTTACTATTATACAATATATTTTATTTGTATTTATTTGTAGATGTTCTCCTTATATCCACAACGGTGTGATGTCTCTTTCTAACGTTATTTTACCCTGTCGATCTGACTCGCTCTTGCGTTATAATCCAACCCCTGGAACATATAACTACCATTTGGTATTGTCACATAGTAATAGCAACTTTGGTATCCCCACGGGTTTAACTCGAAAGTTCCCCTTCGCTCTTGTGTGTTCGTTTGTCACTTGCGTCCATGGATATAAAGAGGAAATTTCTCATTTCCTATGCCCCAAAATAAAATGCTAAATTATATTACTTAATATTGCTCCTTTGAATATTTATATTTATAACTTTATATAAATTTTTATTTAATAATACGCAAACTATTTTGTTTTAATCGACATTTAATTTGTATACTTAAAAAATTTTTTGTTCTTACAATTATTCCAGTAAAATAAAAAAAAATTGAACTTAATCATTTTTTTTTCTAATGATTCATCTTTATTAAAATTAAATATTTACTCAAAGTTATTAATTTTTAAAAATATTTACAAGAAAATTAAAACTTAAAAATTTTTATCTCTTTAAGATTTTAAAAATTAACTGAGTCTTTAAACTAAAAATTTATATTTACAATTAAATATAAATTTTTTATTATTTAAGAAATTTATTTTGATGTAGACATTTTCAAAATTTTAAATTTACCACAAAAAAAAATTATCAAAGGAGCCGTTAGATGGCGCTAGTTTACTTTCTTCTCGCATGTGCTTGTTATAATGCCACTTTCTTTATATAACATTTCCAACGGATAACGGATGTACTTGCTTCGGCAGTACATATACTAAAATTGGAACGATACAGAGAAGATTAGCATGGCCCCTGCGCAAGGATGACACGCAAAATCGTGAAGCGTTCCACATTTTTTGTCATTTTCATTAATTAATCTCTGTTAAAATTTTTTAACTGGAAAAATTACTAAATATTAATACTTTAAATTATTTATCAAATTTTTTTATTATGTTGCATAATTTAATAAAAAAAAAAAGAAACATTTGATTTTTAAATTATTAAAAATTTTATAAAAGAAACAACTTTATTATTTTCACTTAAAGTATAATAAATTATTAAGAAATTGTCATTTTCATTAATTAATCTCTGTTAAAATTTTTTAACTGAAAAAATTAATAAATATTAATACCTAAAATTATTCATCAAATTTTTTTATTTTGCATAATTTAAATAAAAAAAATGTGTTTCTTCTAAAATTATTCAAAGTTTTATAAAAAAAACCAACTTTATTATTTTTCACTTAAAGAATAATAAATTATTAATAAATCCAAAGTAAAAATAAAAATGACCCAATTAAAAATGGATAAAAGGATAAACTTTAATGTGCAATTAATTACAATTAACATATCATTCAATATTGAACAGGTATTGATATTTTAGTATTGAAATTTATCACATAATTTAGTAAATTAATAATTATTCCAATTGACAGGTAACAATTAAAATAATATTTAATTATTATATAATTTTAATTACGGCAGTATTGTTGAGTAATTCCAGTTAATAAATAAATTTATTAATTTTTACAGTAGTTAAGTTTCATTTATTATTAATTTTCAATCCGACGTTGATCCATAGGATTTATTATGCTTGCAAAAATATATACTTATATCGTAACATTAATTTAAACTATTCATTTATTTATTTATATTTAACAATTTTTCTAGATCCACTCTCGCATACAATTTTTTATTTAAAATTTATTTAATTGTAATTGCACAAGTAAATCTTATAAAAATTTCTGAAAAATTATCGTCTAAAAAATTAAAGGCAATCATTCAGTTAATGAAAAATAATTTATTTTTATACATTCCCACTATTATTCTATTTGTTTATTTGTTAATTATCTAATTATTCAATCATACACTCATTAGTTCTGAGACCAAAATAATAATATATAATATTTTGTCAGGCAATTACGATTACAATTTTTATATTAAAAATTATTTTAATTACATAACAAAAATTTTTTTTATTTTACTCAAACATTTTTATAAATTTAAGTAATTATTTATTGATATGAAAAATTTATACGAGTAAATTCTGGTTAATCATTCAAAATATTCATTTTCTACACTGCAAATGGAATGTATCGATTAATATTATAATAATAATGAATAAATACATCACTAAATAACTGTTTAATATCAAACAATATCAAGTAAACCAAATGAAAAATTAATTATCGCTGACAAAACATCAATACGCATTCTAACTATAAATAATAACAGTGATAATTAATTATTAATAATGAAATTCAATTGTCCGTCGACGTATTTTATTATTTAAACATTTCGCTACTTAATTTTATTTATTAAATCGCTGATAATTAATTAGAGTTTAATTAAACCATTTTATTGATTGCATTTTTTTAAGTTTCATTCAATTCATTAATACGAATTGAATAGTCTGATCATTTTCACAAGTCAATAAAACTTTATTGATTAATTAAATTTAATTTAACAATTATTCAGCTTTTTTGATTATTTTTAATCATAGAATTTTTTATTTTATCTACATATTTTTGTGAAAGAACAAACAATCCAACATTAGTGCCAAAAATGAAAAAAACTTGACAATTTTAATTTTGTGATTTTAAAATAAATGTTTTTCTCACAAAGAATCTTCTTCCACAAAAAATTTTGCAAATATGTAGATAAAATAAAATGATAATTCTATGATAAAAAATAAATGCCATTGTTACAATACAAATTGTACTCGAAATTTTCCTATCAAAAAAAAAAAAACTTTTAAGACAGTTTTTTGATAAAAAAATCTAGAGTATCCGTAACAATACCAAAGAAAAATCCATATAAACTGTCTATTAACCATTACAGAATTGAGTTTTGAATAAAACAGTATTGTTACAATAAAATTTTTACCGTAATAAAAAATGGCATCATAAAAAATACAAGTATGTACAGAGATTGTGTATTAGGATGGCGCAAAAAAACCGAGTATTTTTTTTTTTAGTCTCGAGTGAAAAAATGTCAGTTTTTGATGTTTTAAGAGCCTTCTCCAAAGAACAGCTCAAAAAAAATTTTTAAGAGGTCGCTCCAAATTTTTTTAAATTTCAAAAATCGAAATTTTTTTTTTTTAATTTTTTTTTCTCATTACGTCATAATTTTATAGACCAAAAAAAAATAAGTTCCTGAAAGTTTCAATTCAAAATTTAAATTTTGAAAGGTCGCTCATAATTTTTTTTAAATTTCAGAGTCAAAAAATGCTAATCCAATTAAATAGTAACAAATAAATTAAAAAAAAAAATTATGAGTGACCTTTTAAAATTCACATTTTGAACTGAAACTTTCAGGGAACCCTTTTTTTTTTGGTCTATAAAATTATGACGTAACAAGAAAAAAAATTTAAAAAAAAAAAAAAATTCGATTTTTAACTTTTGCAATTTAAAAAAATTTGGAGCAACCTCTTAAAAATTTTTTTTTAAGCTGTCCTTTGAAGAGAGCTGTTAAAACATCAAAAACTAACATTTTTTCACTCGAGACTCAGAAAAAAAAAATACTCGGTTTTTTTGCGCCACCCTATTGTGTATGTAGCTTGATTTTTACAAAATAACATATGTTACAGTCTTTTCTTTGGTAACGAACCAAAAGCAGATATTACAGTAGCTTTCGTAGCAGAACTGGCGTTTAAAGTTGTCAAGGTAGGCTGGGACAGGAGTACCGTGGGCTTTATATTGGGATTAGCGGTTCCAGTGGCAACTTGGTCCCACTTGCTTTTTCTCTTCTTGGCGTCCTCTTCAACAGTCGGAGCAGAACTGTTGGGGCGCTTGGCAGTGCCCGAGACAATTTCGATTTTGGTTTTTTCTTTCCTAGCCTTCTCGAGCTTGTCCATTTCGGCTTTTTGGACCTTGGCGAGCTCCTCGTAGTACGAGTCTTTGCCCCACTTGAAGGGGTCAAACCGGTCAGGCGGGTAATTGGTACCCAGCTCATTGATGCTACAAAATTGAATAAGTTTTTCATAAATAGAGGGGTTGCGAAAGTCTTTGCGCTGCTGGATAGCTTGATTCATGTCGACGCCGCCCTTGGACTCCATTTTCCTGAAAAGTACCGTTATTTTTTCCTGGAGGTCCGGCGGATACTGGCCAGGCGGCTCCGGCGGAATAACAACACCGTCTGGGTCCGGAGCGTCCGAGAATTCGGGGCCATCTGAAACCAATTCTCCGGGATGACGTGAGGGCGACTTTTCACCGGACTTAACGGAGGGTGTTACGCCATTGTGATTAGGCGGGTTACCCTCGCTCGGTAGATTTGCCGCCCCCTCGTCATCCGAAACAATAGTATCATCAAAATATGAAACCAAACGATGCACCTTATTATGTACCGTTAGATTTTCAGTAATGACTAAGGTGGAGGACGGTGGATTTTTATTACTGGGTAAATTACTAATAGACTTTTTCCCAACGCCGGAAGCAACGTTCGGGCTATTGGAGGCTGATCTCCCAGATTTGGGACTGGTGTGAGCCTGCTGGGGCTGGCCGACTTGGGCATTATTGTAAGGGACGGCACCCTGGGGAGTGGAGTTATTCTCCTGGAGCTCGTCGTCCACCCCGTCCTCGCCCTCCGAGTCGGTATAGGTGGCCGTGAGAGATGCCAGAGCAACACTTTGTACAGACATGGTTAGTTGGCTTTGAGTCCGCTTTTTTCAGAGATATATTTTGTGTTGGAACTCACCGAATTTATGGTTTAGCTTAGGATTTTTCTAGCTAATGATGATCTCTAGGATTACCGCTTGTTTTTGCACAAGTACCTTTCTTTGCTGATATTATTAGCCTCTTACTGTCTCCTACTCGGCTAGTTTCATCTGGAATATATTGAAAAGTGAATTAGTTTTTTATTTCGACATTCATTTTTACACTAATAAAATTGTTAAATTATTTTTCTCCCCTCCGTGCGGAAAGCGTCAATTTTCTGCTCGCTGCGCTAAACGAAAATGCCGCTTTCCGCCTCCATCGAGGAGAAAAATGGTTTTAAGTTAATCAATTTTTTCTACCCAGGCGAAAAATTTTTATGGATTTTTTTTATATCAATTTTTCAACTATCATTTATAGTAATATTTAATTTTATTACAAATCACAAATTTTTCCAATTTAAAAAATATCTTTTAATTAAACACAAAAATAAATTTTTTTATTTCTTATTTAATAATATTTTTAAAATTAGAATAAAAGATTTATAATAAAAAATAAAGAACATAAAAATCATAAAAACATACTGTACGATTTTGACCTTGACAGAAAATAACTTTCATGTTATAAAAATAATTATTTATATGAAGACAAAAAAAAAAAAAAATGATAAAATCAGACAATTAATATAATGAATCTTATAAATCATTAAACCAATGACAGGAAAAATATTAATTATTTTTTTACTTAAAGATTACACATATAAATGAGCGATAAATACACGGAAAAAAGAACTCGAAAAATTACATTTAATTTAATATTTAGAGCTTTCAATGTAAATATTACATTTTACAATGTAATTCTTATAAAATCTGTAATAATTACAATCTGAAACTGTAATTTTTCCAGTTTTCATCACGAAGAACCACGTTGCATTATATACTGTAATTTTTCGAGCACACGGAAAAAAAAATTAACTTGATTCAAGAGAAAAATTCTTGAACCAGGAAAATAATTTTGAAGAAGGTAATTTGTCTTGAATCAAGTAAAATTTCCTTAAATCAAGAAAAAATTATTAGTTTAAGAATTTTTCTACTCAAATATCAAGATTAAGTTCTTCAAAATTATACACTTGATTCAAGAAAATTTTTTTTTCTGTGCAGAGTGTTTCTGATCTTAGTTTAACTCAGCAATTACCGGAGAGTAAAATCGAGGACTAATTTATGAAATTTATCAACCTCGAAAGCATTTATGAGTTCAGATTCAAGACTCCAACAAAGACGAATCACCCTAACGGGTACGCTGAATTTGCCGACAGTGCGTTCAATTATCCAGCAATTAGAGAGTACTCTCGAGTTGTCCTCAATCATCCTCTCTGGTCACTGCCGTCTCATCACATATTACATTTTTTTTACTCTTTTATAATTATTATTGTGATAACATTAAGAATATTATTATGGTCGATGAAATCGTATAGTATGTATCACACTTTACAATGCATTATAAAATTATTGTTATATTTTTCCGCCTGGGTAGTTACTCATGGCGAATTGATTTTCAACTCCACTTTATTTAATTAATTAATATTCGACATCTAAAATATTAAAAGAATTATTAAAATGTGAGTAACATGTATTAAAAATAAAATACATTAGATATAAAATAGATAAAACTAGGTTATGTATTTGTCAAACTTACCTATTAATTTAAAAAATAAAAAAGCAATAATTCCCAGTCATATAATTGATATTATTCATCACCGAAACATGGCTAAGTTGTGTATTAAAATACAGCTGGTCTGCTAAATATTTTTATACTGAAATGCAAACGCTGATACAGTATTTTGATGGCCTTGTTGATTAGAAAACAAACTCCTTCACCTAAACTATTTTCCACGGTACTTTTTACTCCAACACTTAAAAATGATGATCAGTTAAATATTTTATTTATAACCTTACTGCTGATCGATCTGTTAGATTTTTTTATTTCAATTTAAATCTAAAAAAAGATTCTTTTTGGAACTTGAACACTACTTTTAACAGGTCAATACCATCCGGCAGCCATTTTAGGCCACTAATTATGTTTTATGTATAGTTTTTTTTTTTTCATAGGAATATTTTAATTCTTTAACTACAGTTCCTTATTCACTAGATAGATTTTCACGCCATCTGCCGTTCACTGTAATTAGAAAATATTTTTTTTATATAAACACAAAAATCAATAAATAAATATTTACTCATTATTATTATTAATTTTGCGAATTAAAATTTTTTATTTTAAATTAAAAATTTACTAGCACTTAGTCACATTTTAAATAAAAAAAATACATTAAAGTTAGATGAAAATTCTTGCAGCACATATTTAATAATTTTGAAAATTTATTATATAAATTATAGCAAAAAAAATAAGAAAAAAAAATTGACATCTACAAATTTAAAAAAATAAATAATGCAATTTTTTAAAAATAATTTTTTGGAACAAATCTTTTTGTTAATTAAAATTAAAAAATTGTCATGTGAAGCTAACTTGAATATCATTAAAAGTTAGCAGTCACTTCAAAATTTTTTTATTTGATTGAACAAAAAAATTTATTTTTAAAAAATTGCATTTTTTATTAAAACTTTGAAGTTGACAGATATTAAAAATTTTTTTTAAATTTTATAATAATTAAATTCTTATAAAAAAAATTCCACATGAAACAATTAATGAAAATTATGAAAATAACTTCAGCAGATATTTAATAAATTGATGACATTAAAATTAGCAGTCACTTGACTATTTTTTAAGTTTTTTTTAAGGAATAAATTTGATCCAACAAATTATTTTCAAAAAATTGGATTTTCAATTTCATAAAATTTCTACATGTCAATTTTTTTTTCTAATTTTTTTTGCCATAATTTATTTGTTACAAAAATTTTTTTAATTATCAAATATCTGCTAAATTAATTTTCATGTAAATTATTTGTTAACAACAGTTCTTAAAATTATCAAATATCTGCTAAATAAATTTTGATAATAAATTGTAGAAATTTTGAAAAACAAAAAATGCAATTTTTTAAAAGCATTTTTTTATTGTACATAATTGATTTGTTATAAAAATGTTTAAAATTGACAACTCATGGCTAACTTCAGTATGATTTTTTATTTTTTAAAATTTCTACATGTCAACTTTTTTTTGCTATAATTTATGTATTATGAAATTCTTAAAATTCTTAAATATATGCTGAATTAATTTTCATAATAAAAAATTGTTTATGATTAATTTTTTTTATGAATTATTGTGATGATATTTATTTATTTATATAACATATGTTCGGTACTTTAATATACCTGAACATTAACTATACGCAATTCTAGAGAATTTAAGTTTGTAAGACTGGTAAAGCTGCTCCGAGCGCTCGGATATAACTACCACCGTATTTTGCGTTCCAGATCATTCGTTGTTAGTCTCTGGTGGGATACTTACCAAGCTAATAATTATTTACGTGATTCACGCAATTTATTTTATACTTATATCAAGTAATTCTTCATCAAGTAAGTACAATATTTATTTTAATTAAATTATTCTTTATCGTAGTTGTTTATTTAGTAATTAAACCGAATCCCAAACACATTTAATTAAAATAATTATTTTGATGGAAAGTTCTCGTATGTCCTTTGTTCTCGGGCGTCCATTTTATATCTGCAGCGTCACATTATTCAGGTCAATCAATAGTCAAGAAAATTTTATTTATTCGTTGATCTAAATTCATTTTGTTTGATATTTCTATTTAAATATTATTTATTTCAATTATAAAACAGTTTTAAAAATTTATATTTGTTTCGTGGTTATTAAATTCTCCAGTTTTATTATTATTATTATTAATAAGTAAGTAAAATCTGATGAAAATAACGGACGCCATTACATGAAAATTGCTTTGTCATATTTTTCCTCAATTATTGCATTTAAAATTCTCAAAAATAAATTCAATAAAACTTACTTTAACAATTTAATTAAATAATAAATCCAAAATTTATTTTCATTATAATTAAAAGTGACATTTAATAATTCTTAGATTTTTTTTTATCAAATTAACTGTCAAAAATAAAAATACAGAATTGACATTTGGATTTAAAAACATTTAGTATAATGTTGTAAAAGTAATTTCTAGATAATTTATAATTGAAATGGAATAAAAAAAAATATTTAGTGTTTATTAATTTTAGTATTTTATTTTTTGTGTTTATTTACTGTAAATCTCGCAGGTTTCTTTAAAATTTAATCTATTTACTTTTCAAATCAAAAATAAATATAAAATAATTGAATTCATAAAAATATTTTCAGTATTTTACATTAAAAAAAAAAAAATTTTTTTTTAATTTATTTAGGAAACAATTCTAATTATCTTAATAATTTGCAGATAAAAAATGCAGATCTTCGTGAAGACTCTGACAGGAAAAACCATAACTTTGGAGGTGGAAGCATCAGACACCATCGAAAATGTAAAAGCCAAGATCCAAGACAAAGAGGGAATCCCTCCTGACCAGCAGCGTCTTATCTTCGCTGGTAAACAACTCGAAGATGGACGTACTCTTTCTGACTACAACATCCAGAAAGAATCAACCCTTCACTTGGTATTGCGTCTTCGTGGTGGTATGCAGATCTTCGTCAAGACATTGACCGGTAAAACCATCACCCTAGAAGTAGAAGCTTCAGACACTATCGAAAACGTCAAGGCCAAGATCCAAGACAAAGAGGGAATTCCTCCAGACCAGCAGCGTCTTATTTTCGCTGGTAAACAACTCGAGGATGGACGGACTCTTTCTGACTACAACATCCAGAAAGAATCAACCCTTCACTTGGTATTGCGTCTTCGTGGTGGTATGCAGATCTTCGTCAAGACATTGACCGGTAAAACCATCACCCTGGAGGTCGAAGCGTCAGACACCATTGAAAACGTCAAGGCCAAAATCCAAGACAAAGAGGGAATCCCTCCAGACCAGCAGCGTCTCATCTTCGCTGGTAAACAACTCGAGGACGGAAGAACCTTGTCCGACTACAATATCCAGAAAGAGTCCACTCTCCATTTAGTATTGCGTCTTCGTGGAGGCATGCAAATTTTCGTAAAAACTTTAACCGGAAAAACGATAACCTTGGAAGTTGAGGCTTCAGACACTATTGAAAATGTGAAAGCCAAGATCCAAGACAAGGAAGGTATCCCACCAGACCAACAACGTCTCATCTTCGCTGGTAAACAACTAGAAGATGGACGTACCCTCTCTGATTACAACATCCAAAAGGAGTCAACTCTCCATTTGGTCTTGCGTCTCCGTGGTGGCATGCAAATTTTCGTCAAAACTTTGACGGGCAAAACCATCACCCTGGAAGTCGAAGCTTCCGACACCATTGAAAACGTCAAGGCCAAGATTCAAGATAAAGAAGGTATTCCACCAGACCAACAACGTCTTATCTTCGCTGGTAAACAACTCGAGGATGGAAGAACTCTCTCCGACTACAACATCCAGAAAGAATCAACACTTCATTTAGTGTTGCGTCTTCGTGGAGGTATGCAGATCTTCGTCAAAACACTGACCGGCAAGACCATCACCCTTGAAGTTGAAGCTTCTGACACCATTGAGAACGTCAAGGCCAAGATCCAGGACAAAGAAGGAATCCCACCAGACCAGCAGCGACTTATCTTCGCTGGTAAGCAGCTTGAGGATGGTAGAACTCTTTCGGATTACAACATCCAAAAAGAATCAACACTCCACTTGGTCTTGCGTCTCCGCGGTGGTATGCAAATCTTCGTGAAAACACTGACCGGCAAGACCATCACCCTCGAAGTTGAAGCTTCTGACACCATTGAGAACGTCAAGGCCAAAATCCAGGACAAAGAGGGAATTCCTCCAGACCAGCAGCGACTTATCTTCGCTGGAAAACAACTCGAGGATGGACGTACTCTTTCTGACTACAACATCCAGAAAGAATCCACTCTTCACTTGGTGTTGCGTCTTCGTGGAGGTATGCAGATCTTCGTCAAGACTCTGACTGGTAAAACCATCACCCTCGAAGTTGAAGCTTCAGATACCATCGAGAACGTCAAGGCTAAAATCCAGGACAAAGAGGGAATCCCACCAGACCAGCAGCGACTTATCTTCGCGGGTAAGCAGCTCGAGGATGGAAGAACTCTCTCCGACTATAACATCCAGAAGGAGTCCACCCTTCACTTGGTATTGCGTCTCCGTGGTGGTCAATAATCATTCATCGTTTACCAGTAGATAAAATAGTCATACTAGAATACATTCTTTTATTAATTATAAAATTTATTATTCATTCCAAGTTTGATTTAATTAAACTTTTTTTTACTGCAGTCTCATGGGTAGATTTATTGTAACCTACTGGTACAATTAGTAAATAATCTCGGCGTTATAATTCTGGAATTTCTTTTGGCTTTTAATAAATAAAAAAAATAATATTTATTGATTTGAAATTATTTATTTACATTATACTTAGATACATTCTATTTTTATTATAAGTTACTTTTTTTAAATAATTTCAGAATCTGTCCTCACTGGGCCTGGTAATAATAAATAGTTATTTTTATTAATAATCTTAATTGAATTTTTAATCAATAATCTCGAAACTTACCGATAAATTGTAGGAGTACAGGTAAGAATATCAATCCATGAGAAGCGCCGATTATTAAAATTCCCAAGTACATTCTGAAGTAAAAAACTTGGAATATTTGAGTCTGGGCGAATGCAAGAACAATTATTCCAATTAATTTCGTCATTGTTATGCCTGAGAAGACCTTTAAAAAATAAAAAACGAAGAGTTACAGGTAATTATTATTTTTTAGGGCTGTACAATTTGGCCGGTTAGGCCGGCCAAAAAAGTTAGCTAAGTTAATTAGCCCGTTAGCTGGCCGGCTTAGCTAAGTTAACCGATTAGCCGAATTAGCTTAGCTAATTAGCCAACGGCTTAACCGGTTAACCTAGGTTAACTTAGCTAATTAGCCAACTGCTAAACCGGTTAAATAGCTAATTTTTTAAATGCTTTTTGTTGCATACTGAGGTGCGTATACGTATTGAAATAAATGTTAACCTCGTTTTTTGGGAAAAAAATCATGAACAAGAGAAAAAACGAGAGTAAAGTAAGTTAATGACCTATGAATGAATAAATTTTTTTTTTTTAATTGAAAACAGTAATAGAATAATTTATTAAGTATAATTATTAATTTAGTATTTGAAACATTTTTTAGTTACAGTGAGCTATTAATTAATTTCTAAATTTACTATCAGTAAGATCTCTATTTTGATAAAGAAAAATTAATAAGTTCGCATTTTCTGGTAATAAGCAGTTTCTCTTTGCACTAATGATGTTTCCGGCAGTAGAAAAAACTCTTTCCGATGATGTGCTCGATGCAGGAACTGCTAAAAATCGTCGAGCAAGTCTAGCTAGTGAAGGATATTTATGCTGTTTTATATTCCACCACTGAAGAGGGTTATCACTTCGAGGAATGTTCGGCTCGTTCTTGTAGTTTTCAATTTCTTTTTGGTATTTTTCACTTAGATCATTTTGTTGGTCAGAGTCAAAACTAGCCATTCTTTTAAAGCTTTGAGACAATGCTATTTCAGAGCTGAAAAGATAATCTAAGTCTTTTTCTCTCTTATTTTTACTAACAAACTCTGGTGTCCATCCTGCATTTTCTTCTGTCATCATTTGTAATATTGTTTTTTCAACGGATTTCTTGAAATCTTCATTTTCATTAACCATATCTTTGTATCTGCCAAAATAAAAGTAAATTTTACAATCAATAATTTAATTAAATTAAATATTATAATGATAAATAAAAAACAAAAAAATATTTTCGAACTCCAAAAAAATATTTCTTATTTTTTAAAGTTAATACATAGAAAAGAACTGTTCGAATATTTGTTGTTATCAACAAATATTCAAGCAGATCATATAGTCTAATAGTAATAAATCAAATAATAATCATACCGAGGATCTAAGAAACAAGCCAACGCACATACACTATCACTATCATTGCTCAAAAGCCGTTCTTGTAGTTCTTCTTGAAAAATATCTTTTAATAATTGAATTTTCGGAAGGTCGTTGTCTTCATCGTATTGCAAAAATTTATCAATAATTGAATAAATAACAGGCCGTATCATTCTAATAATGGACTCAGATTCTTTAGAATTTAATTCTGTAGCTACTTCAAAAGGCTTCAAAATTTTAACAAGAGCTTGTAAATAAGTCCATTCGGAATTGTTTAGAAGCAATTTTTTAGACATTGCTGGAGTTGTAAATTGAGGGTTTAGCAACACAGTCTCAACGGCTTGACGTTGTTCTAATATTCTTTCCATCATAGCATATAAGCTGAATTCCAGCGCGTTACACAATAACTAATTAGACAATGATCTGGTAAATTATGTTCTTTTTGAGCATCGCTGAGAGCTTTTGTTGCTTTATTAGAATGCTTGAAATGACCAACGATACCGGAAACTTGTTGCAGATGTTTTTTAAAAGTATCTTCTTTGAAAGCTTTTTCGATTACCAGCTGTAACGTATGACAGAAACAACGCACACTTTGGCCAATTTTAACATTTGAACTAGAACTCGTTCGCATTGCAGCGATCATATTTGGAGCATTGTCATGTACAACAGCAATTGTTTTATCAACTATTTTCCATTCTGATAGACCTTTACACAAATACTTGTAAATATTTTCTGCAGTATGACTTTCTGACTATTTCATTCGTGTCCAAAGTTACTGAACGCATATTCCATAAATCATCAATAGCATGTGCCGTAATAGTCATGAATGAGTCTGATAAACGAGATGACCAACCATCAGTTGTAATTGATATGTAAGGAAAGCGATGAAAGGCTTCAAGAATATCATTTCGAACTGACTCGTACAAAAGTTCCAAACGATTTTTAATAACAGTTCTACTGGGAATTATATATTCAGGAAGAATGTCTTTCATAAATTGTGTAAAACCTAGTTAACCTAGGCCTTCTACATGTGATAAAGGCAGCATATCCATGGCAATATATTTAACAAGCGAAATAGTAGTTGCTTCTGACTTAGGATTCTGAAATAAAAAGAATTAAAAAGAAATTAATTGCATTAAATGTATGATTGATACAGAGTCGTATTTTTTAGTGTAAAAAATGAGTGAATACATACTTTACGGCTGTAATATTCTCTTATTATTTGTCGCTTTTTTTTATTGCCCGAAGGACCTGGATTTGATTCTTCATCAGAGCTGAACATGAATAATAATGCATTTATATAAAATATATTTTTAAAAAATTAAAATAATTTAATGTTTTTGTCTCGAAAATATTGAATTTGATGAATTAAATAATTCAGTACAAAACATAGAAAAAAACTTACCGTAAATCAGATTCTGTCTCTTCATTAGGTGTAAGAGGTTCAATTTTATCAGAATGTTTACATTTTAAATGGTATCTTAGTGATGACGTAGTTTTTCTTATATTATATTCATTTGGACAATACTTACATTTGGCAATGCCATTTGTAACAAGTGTATAATGCTTCCACAAAGATGACATTTTGAAAATTTAAAATGAACAGTAATAAAAAATATGAAGTCTTATTAAAATACAAATATAAAATCTGCGAGACAATCACTACAACACTTCATGAGCATATTGGCAAAAAAACGAACTAGTTTTTGAATAAATTTTTTCATTGGACATATCAGAAAGAGCGCGTAATTTGAATCGCAGAGTAAAATTGCTCATTTAATACGTTTAAAAAAATTCGAATAATTATTTATATTAATTAATTCATAGGTCAATAACTTACTTTACTCTCGTTTTTTCTCTTGTTCATGATTTTTTTCCCAAAAAACAAGGTTAACATTTATTTCAATACGTATACGCACCTCAGTATGCAACAAAAAGCATTTAAAAAATTAGCTATTTAACCGGTTTAGCAGTTGGCTAATTAGCTAAGTTAACCTAGGTTAACCGGTTAAGCCGTTGGCTAATTAGCTAAGCTAATTCGGCTAATCGGTTAACTTAGCTAAGCCGGCTAGCTAACGGGCTAATTAACTTAGCTAACTTTTTTGGCCGGCCTAACCGGCCAAATTGTACAGCCCTATTATTTTTTATTATTAATAGAAATATTTATAAGGAAAATAAAATAAACTTACAGAACTGCCCATGTCCGTCAGAGCTTCCGAGGTTTTGGCGACTCTTGTTTTTTGAGTCGAAGTAAGGTACGAGTGAACCAGGTGACTGCAAAATTCAACAGAGATTCCAACAGTCTGAAAAATAGTAAGCCATTTAAATGATTAGAATTTTTGCGCTCCGTTCTTCAGATTTTATTTCAACGAATGTTACCATCACTAAATTGACGAGCGAGATCGCATTGAGAGATATGTTCCACCAGTACATGTATCCGAGCATGTTTACGATGATCATCGCTACGGTCAACAGTACAACCACCGCCGAGAATAATGATAGTCCGGTGAGTAAGTACGTCACCACGAAAACGACGAGAAGTGACAGTCCAATCGACTCGAGCAGTTCTTGCCAAATCGTCAGATACTGCTCGAAAAATACGTAAAAAACACTGAAAATATAAACTTGTAGCTTCATCACATCTTCAACTCACCCCTTATGCTACCATTAATTTGATTAATAAAATACCTGTAGGGAAAGACCTCGATTGTTTGATTAGTCAGCGAGGCGCTGTTGATCATACTTGTTATATTATCAGCGATGATCCGAGCGTACGAGAGAGCGTTGTACCAGTCTGACTGCTTCTTCAAAGGCGTATGGTAGCTCATGAAGTAAGTGTCACCAACATCAATCATCCCATATTCGTCAGTCGAATACTTCAATGCCTGTCGAAATTTAAATAAGCCAATGATTCATTTTATCCCACAAAAAAACGTATGCTATTGCAACGCACATCAAGATATGAAGCGCGACCACCTTTCGCACAATCTTCATCTGGTATATCAGATACAAAGTAGCTGATATATTTACGAAAACTCTGTGCATCTGGTCTTAATCCTAATTCATCAGTTGGTATATTACAGCTTTTGCAATCGTCTATAATGAGTTAAATTCAGAGTTATTTATTCTATCTAATTGGAATTTTAATGTTTGATAAAATTTACATCTAGTATGAGGACAGAACGATCCATTGCTTGGAAAATATTGACAGCAGTCGGAAATCGTGCTCCAATCAAAATAATCGTCGATCCATGAGGAAGCTGGTTTTGCAATATATGATCTGTATTGTTGTTACTAAATTAGTCATCAATGATAAATCAATAGTTATTTTAATATCAAAAAAAATTAAATTAAATTTTTACATTGCAGATTGTTCAGAAGCAGTAAAAATTTGAGTGTAAAGAGAATCTGAATTGCATTTTTGACCGCCACAAATTGCATTTTGAACATTTGTATTCGTGTAATTTAGCCCACTCTTAACTACAAAATATACCGGTGGTCCCATTGATAAAAGATCTTCCATGAACTGAAAATAATGAACTCTGATCATAAATATAATAATTATCATTTAAAGGCTGTACCTGAAAATATTTGAAAACGTATGAATCTTTGACCATCGAGAGCTTTTGATCTAAACCAAGTTCGACATTGGGCCCAACAATAGAATGAAGCACTAACGCGCCTATAAAAAATACTATGACTCCGATTCCGATAGCTTTCTTCATCAAAAAAGGCGTGTAAAAGTACGAAAATATGCTGTGAATAATTCTACAGTCTCCATCATCATATACTGATTTCTTCACTTGAATACAACACAAAATCTCAACACGATGATTCTGTGAAAGATTAAACAAAAATACATATGCTGTTGCACTGAAAATATTTGTTCGTGATGATAAGAAAGGTGATTACCTCAGATCGCCTCACATCTAATGCGAGCAAACTTATAAACGCTGTGATTTGCAGCAGAAAGTTTATGATTATTGCCACTGATGCGTACAGAGCAAACGTGTTGACAGCTGGCATGGACGAGAGGGTTCCAATCAAGAAACACAGACACTCGGAAATACTTGTCAGTAAAATGCTGGACCCTACTGACGATAAAATTCTTCCGATGTAATCTGGTATGCTTTCTCCAGCGCGCAAGGGATTTTTCTGGTGAGTTTGAACGAGGATGAAAATATTGTCGACTCCTACTGCCAATACCAGGAACGGAATCACCTCGAGTGTTAAAATCGTCGTCGGGACTCCAATGTAGCCGAAAATTCCAAAGGTGCTGGCCACAGAGGCTAAAACAATAACAATTCCACCGAGACTGATCAATATTTTGCTGGTTACCTGAAAATAGAAGAAATTAATCACCGTCATCAGTCGAAGCTTTGAATAAATTCATTGAGGTTGTAATTTTCTTACGAAGCACAGTGGAGATAGTTTAAATTGTCCTAGAATCAACATTATGTAGAGGAACATGAAGAAATAACTTATGATCACTGTTTGTATTTCAGTCACAGAAGTTCTTTGCAATTCATCTTCAATTGACCTCTCTGAGCTGTAAGCGACTTCCATAAACTCTGGACACGCGGTACTGGTCCAATTTTTCATGAAATCCAGATACTTTTGTTCCCACTTTAACATTGGTTGTAATTCTGTTTTGTTCAATGAATTTTTAACCAAAAAAGTCAAAACTAGTCCAGTAGATTTTATATAATCAGTACTTTCATATTTCGATTTATTATCCTGCTGAAACCCTCCGAATGCTACATCTGGAATAATTGGTCCTTTGTACAGAGCCCTACAAACTGGAATATATGGATTTCTGTAACGGAAATTAATTACTGTTATTATATAAATTCTTTTTTTGTTCGAGTCATATAATATCTTACTGCATGCATTTGAGCAACTTTTCCAGATTTTCTTTAAATTCAGTTTTATTAAATTCTTCAAAATTATCTTGAAAGTATCCCCACACACTTTGTACCGCACACAATTCTAAAGTAACTGGTCCATCAAAGTCACTTTGAATTGGAGCAAAACAAATTTTGTCCAAGCCTTCATTCGAATCCTGGCCAATCTATTAACAATTTCAATTCTGAATTATTTTATTGGATAAAATAAATTACCTAGCGTTTTAATTTTACTCTAAAAATTTGTTGTTGAAGATCATAAACTGCAGTGAGAAATTCCTTCCTGAATACTGGACCAACTTCAATAGTTGCATTACTTGAAGGTACATATGTTAACTAGTGTTAATACATTGAATTAATATCAGTTTTTTCTACAGTATCATTATATCAAGTAACTTACATTTTCTAAGCCAACAGATTTTATAAAAACTTGCTCGGTGCGATAAAAAGGAGTGAAATGACTGTCAAAATAATCTCTCTCGGATCTAGATTTACTTTGAGGCGAAGCCCAAATTTCGATAGGGTTGATGGTTATTTGTAAAGAAGTTGAACCAAAACTTAATGCCGCTAGCACAAAAGATATCAGACACAAACACCCGGCAGGATATTTTGCAAAAACTGTTAACGAACAAACAAGTAGATTGATTAAATAACTAGAAAAATAAAAAAAATTATTCTGCAAAAATAAAAATTAAAAACTTACAGTATCCCCATTTGGTAAAAAACGATTTGAATTTTTTGTGACAACTTATTTGAAAATCATAGCAGTCACTCATCCTAAAATTATCTGCTCAGAATAAATAAAAGAATTAATCACTTCCACCGAACTTAAAATTAATAAATAATACCTGAAAAAATACATACTGGCCCAAAATTTTTTAAAAAATATCTGATTCAAAGTGAAGATCGTACTGATAATAATTATCAATATTCCGACGACTATTCCGTAGCCATTAAGCTCAAGAATGGTAAAAACCGAGTCTTCTTTCTTCCACTCGATAATATTTTTGCAAACACAGTCGACGCACCCGCATGCAGTCGAATTCTTCGAGGAATAAACAGAAATATATACAACAAAATTTATTTATGTTCGATAGAACATATCTACAAGGAAATTAATGAATTTATATATTCATACTTCGTAAGCTTCACTGCATAACTTAGTCGGCGGATTCAATGGGTCGGTTAAATTTTTCTCTTGATCCGGTTCATAGACATAAGTTATTTGAAAGGGAACCATAGGAGTATTGCTATCTCCCATGGCACTGAACCATCTGTATATAAATTTATTATTTTAATATAAAAACTGAAATTTTTTTATTAAAGTTTTAAAATACCTACAATTTTGGTGAACAATGGCTTGCTTCGTAAGGGATGCACGCTAAGTCCATAATCAAATTACCTGTCTGTGGGTTTATTACTTTTCTACACGACTCATAAGTCGCATTTGCATATTCTTCGGACATATAAACCTAGTTAGAAGAAAATAAATATTAGAACGTAATAATTTATAAATATATTAATAAATAGCAATAATTCTAAATTGAATTAAAATATATTACCCTAATTTCTTTGATATACTTTTTCCCGGTAGCGATATTAATCTTACTCTCTATCTCGGCCATAAAACTACTTTGATTTTTAGCACAAGTCAATTGACAGATTGACTGAAGTAAATTTCTGTAACAGGTTTTACAGCGACCAAGTATCATTTCAGCCATTGTTAATTTTTCGTTCATTGCAACAATTATGTCTGCATCACAGCAAGTTTCAGGATGTTCTAAATAGCGAGCAAATAATAAAAAATATAATATAATGTTTGATAAAAATTTTTAAATAATCTATATTAAGAAAATAAGCGAAATTTAGTGGCCAGTGTATTTATTGGTGCACCAATAGTCAATTTATAATGCTAAGTATTTAGGCTGCATTCGAAAATGCTCTATCTTTAATAGATACATAATTGAGAAATTACATTGTATCATTTGAACTATTGAGATTTTTAAAGATATAAGCTCATCCCGATGTTACATTTATCAAGACCTTTCATTTGAGTACCCACATCAATTTTTCATATATTTATATATATTATATATATGTAAATATGAAAAATATATCAAAATGTATGTGGGTACTCAAATGAAAGCTCTTGATGAGTGTAACATCGGGATGAGCTTATATCTTTAAAAATATCAATAATTAAGAACTAACATTGATATCTCGTCAACTAATGATATTTTTAAAGATATAAGCTCATCCCGACATTACACTCATCGAGACCTTTCATTTGAGTACCCACATCAGATTTTCATATATTTTATATATTTATATATTTCACAAATACCATATATATAAAATATATAAAAAATGCCATGTGGGTACTCAAATGAAAGGTCTCGATTAGTGTAACGTCGAAATGAGTTTATATCTTGATAAATGTCAATAATTAAGAAATGACATTGTATCTTGATATATCAATATATATAATATATATAAATACCATGTGCGTACTCAAATGAAAGGTCTCGATTAGTGTAACGTCGAAATGAGTTTATATCTTGATAAATGTCAATAATTAAGAAATGACATTGTATCTTGTGAACTATTGACATTTTTACAGATATGAGCTCACCCCGATATTACACTTATCAAGACCTTTTATTTGAGCACCCACATAAATTTTTCATATATTTTATATATATATATATATATTTATATATATGTATATATGAAAAATATATCAAAATGCATGTGGGTACTCAAATGAAAGCTCTTGATGAGCGTAACATCGGGATGAGCTTATATCTTTAAAAACGTCAATAGTTAAGAAAGTACAGTGCAATTTAACAAATATCTTGTGAACTATTGACATTTTTAGAGATTTAAGCTCACCCCGACATTACACTCATCGAGACCTTTCATTTGAGTACCCACATCAATTTTTCATATATTTTATATTTTTATATATATGTATTTATGAAAAATATATCAAAATACATGTGGGTACTCAAATGAAAGCTCTTAATGAGTGTAACATCGGAATGAGCTTATATTTTTAAAAACGTTAATAATTAAAAAAGTACAGTGCAATTTAACAAAAGTTATCATTTAATAAAGCAAAATTTTATTTATTTATAGTTCACAAGTCACGGCATAGCAGTCACATAGTGACTGCAAGCTTGCGAGTTTTTTTTATTAATAAATGTCTGATCGATTTGATTAAATTTTATTGATTCACAAAAAAATAAGTGAAAAAAAATTACCGGTGTCAGAAAAAAATTCTGGACATCTTTTTTTAAGAACTTGTTCCGCTGCTGAGTCATTTATTAATTTAGCTGGTCCGTTGTAAGGACAATATTGATGACCAAAAGAGAGATCTGCACATACTCCGTACCAAACACATGTAGGTTCAGCAGTTACAGAAAAAAAGAGCACACCGATCAAAAAAATTAATAAATAAGCCATTCTTTAAATAAAAACACCATTTAAAATTAAAAGAACATTTGTAAAAAAATATACACGTATGATAAAATAATTTTAAATTCAAAAGAATTTAATTATAACTCATTGAAAATAATTTTGTCTGATGGCTATATTTGTTCAATTAATAATGTCAAATGAAGATACCGGGAAGAAAAAATAACAGACTTCGGTAATTTCATAACTTTGATCAAAGACTGAACTTTAGAGCGACTTGAGAAAAAAAAAGTAGCTTATCATTTTGATTATCAGCTAGGTGTTCAGTCACAAATTGATTCGCATTAAAACATTTAATCTCTGGTGATAAAAAATTTAATAAAGGTGTTAGGAGTAAATAACTAAAAAAGTTTGTTATTTATTTATTCAATAAAGTTATAAAATACGCTAACTTAAAATTTAAAAAACATAAAAATTAAAATTTAATTTGCATCTTCACTGATGTCTTTAGTACTTGGCTCAGATACTTCTTCAGGAGCTTCAGAGTCAGTATTTGCTTGAGTCGGGCCTGGAAAAAAATCATTTTTATTATAATGAATGATACAAATAATTGTTGGATTAAAATTCTTAGACTTACCAATAAATCGTAGGAGTACAGGTAAAAATATCAATCCATGAGAAGCGCCGATTATTAAAATTCCTAAATACATTTTGAAGTAAAAGACTTGGAATATTTGAGTCTGAGCGAATGCAAGAACAATTATTCCAATTAATTTCGTCATTGTTATACCTGAGAAGACCTTTAAAAAATAAAAAACGAGGAGTTACAGGTAATTATTATTTTTTATTATTAATGGAAATATTTATAAGGAAAATAAAATAAACTTACAGAACTGCCCATGTCAGTCAGAGCTTCCGAGGTTTTGGCGACTCTTGTTTTTTGAGTAGAAGTAAGGTACGCGTGAACCAGGTGACTGCAAAATTCAACAGAGATTCCAACAGTCTGAAAAATAGTAAGCCATTTAAATGATTAGAATTTTTGCGCTCCGTTCTTCAGATTTTATTTCAACGAATGTTACCATCACTAAATTGACGAGCGAGATCGCATTGAGAGATATGTTCCACCAGTACATGTATCCGAGCATGTTTACGATGATCATCGCTACGGTCAACAGTACAACCACCGCCGAGAATAATGATAGTCCGGTGAGTAAGTACGTCACCACGAAAACGACGAGAAGTGACAGTCCAATCGACTCGAGCAGTTCTTGCCAAATCGTCAGATACTGCTCGTAAAATACGTAAAAAATACTGAAAATATAAACTTGTAACTTCATCACATCTTCAACTCACCCCTTATGCTACTATTAATTTGATTAATAAATTACCTGTAGGGAAAGACCTCGATTGTTTGATTAGTCAGCGAGGCGCTGTTGATCATACTTGTTATATTATCAGCGATGATCCGAGCGTACGAGAGAGCGTTGTACCAGTCTGACTGCTTCTTCAAAGGCGTATGGTAGCTCATGAAGTACGTGTCTCCAACATCAATCATTCCATGTTCGTCAGTCGAATACCTCAATGCCTGTCGAAAATTAAATAAGCCAATAATTCATTTTACAACACAAAAAAACGTATGCAATTGCTACGCACATCAAGATATGCAGCGCGACCACCTTTCGCACAATTTTCATTTGGTATATCAGACACAAAGTAGCTGATATATTTACGAAAATTATGTGCATTTGGCCGTAGTTTGGGTTTATTCTTCATTATGTTACAGGCCTGACAATCATCTATAATGAAATTAATTGTATAACTATTAAGGATTTTATTCAATATTTAAGTAATAACTTTTTTATCCAATGCAGTTATATTTTTAATCGTGATAAAATTTACTTCGGTTATGAGGACAAAACGATCCATTGTTAGCAAAATATTTACAACATTCCGGAATTTTGCTCCAATCGATGTAATCATCAATCCATGAAGAAGCTGGTTTAGCAATATATGATCTAAAATAAAGAACTTAATTAAATCGCCAAGTTATTCTAATAAATTATAAAACCAAATCTTACATTTGAGGTTGTTGAGACGCAGTGTATATTTGAGTGTATACAGAATCTACGTTGCATTCTGGACCGCCACATACTGCATTCTGGACAGTTGTATTGGAGTAATTCAATCCACCCTTTACGACAAAGTACACTGGTGGTCCTACTGATAATAAGTCTTGCATAAACTGGAAGAATATTATCATAGAAAATTTTTTGCAACTATACTCGAACATATTGGAAAAAAATTATCAAGTTTTTTACATTGAAATACTTTAAAACGTATGAATCTTTGGACATTGAGAGCTTTTGATCTAAACCAATTTCGACATTAGGCCCAACTATAGAATGAAGCACTAACGCGGCTATAAAAAAAAATATGACGCCAAATCCGACATTTTTTTTCATCAAAAAATGCGTGTGGAAGTACGAAAATACATTATGAATAATGCTGTGATTTTCCTGGGTAGTGGTCGATTTCTTTATTGGAAAACAGCACAAAACATCAGCACGATTATTCTGTGAAAGATTAAACAAAAATACATATGCTGTTGCACTGAAAATATTTGTTCGTGATGATAAGAAAGGTGATTACCTCAGATCGCCTCACATCTAATGCGAGCAAACTTATAAACGCTGTGATTTGCAGCAGAAAGTTTATGATTATTGCCACTGATGCGTACAGAGCAAACGTGTTGACAGCTGGCATGGACGAGAGGGTTCCAATCAAGAAACACAGACACTCGGAAATACTTGTCAGTAAAATGCTGGACCCTACTGACGATAAAATTCTTCCGATGTAATCTGGTATGCTTTCTCCAGCGCGCAAGGGATTTTTCTGGTGAGTTTGAACGAGGATGAAAATATTGTCGACTCCTACTGCCAATACCAGGAACGGAATCACCTCGAGTGTTAAAATCGTCGTCGGGACTCCAATGTAGCCGAAAATTCCAAAGGTGCTGGCCACAGAGGCTAAAACAATAACAATTCCACCGAGACTGATCAATATTTTGCTGGTTACCTGCAAATTGAAGAAATTAATCACCGTCATCAGTCGAAGCTTTGAATAAATTCATTGAGGTTGTAATTTTCTTACGAAGCACTGTGGAGATAGTTTAAATTGTCCAAGAGTCAACATTATGTAGAGGAACATGAAGACATAACTTATGACCACTGTTTGTATTTCAGTCACAGAAGTTCTTTGCAATTCATCTTCAATTGACCTCTCTGCGCTGTAAGCGACTTCCACAAACTCTGGACACTCGGTATTGCTCCAATTTTTCATGAAATCCAGAAACTTTTGTTCCCACTTTAACATTGGTTGTAATTCTGTTTTGTTTAATGAATTTTTAACCAAAAAAGTCAGAACTAATCCAGTAGATTTCATATAATCAGTACTTTCATATTTCAACTTATTCTCCAGCAAGAAACCCCCGAATGCTATTTCTGGAATGATTGGTCCTTTGAACGGCGCCATACATTGCACGTTGTAAGGATTTCTGCAAAAAAAGAAAAGGATCATTTTAATTTCTACGATTATTTTTCAATCTTTTTGATTAAATTTTCTTACTGCGTGCAATCAAAAAGCTTATTTATATTATCATTATAATCGGCGTCAATAAAATTCTTAAAATCATTTTGGAAGTAACCCCACACACTTTGCACAACACACATATCTAACGTTACTGGTCCATCAAAATTATTGCGAACTGGAGCGAAACAAATTTTGTCCAAGCCTTCATTTGAATCTTGTCCAATCTTAACAATTAAAATAATTGAAACTTGTTATTTTCTGACTTATTAATTTTAATATAAATTTATCGAATTTTCAACCACTTACTTGTAAAATTTCTTGTTGAAGATCATAGACGGCAATAAGAAATTCTTTTGTAAATACTGAACCAACTTCTAGTGCCTCATTAGCGTTCGATATGTATGTAAACTAGTGTTAATACTTTGAATTAATATCAGTTTTCTCTGCAGTATCATTATATAAAGTAACTTACATTTTTTAAGCCAACAGGTTTTATAAAAACTTGCTCGGTTCTATAGAAAGGAGTGAAATGACTGTCAAAATAATCTCTCTCGGATCTAGATTTACTTTGAGGCGAAGCCCAAATTTCGATAGGGTTGATGGTTATTTGTAAAGAAGTTGAACCAAAACTTAATGCCGCTAGCACAAAAGATATCAGACACAAACACCCGGCAGGATATTTTGCAAAAACTGTTAACGAACAAACAAGTAGATTGATTAAATAACTGGAAAAATAAAAAAAAATTATTCTGCAAAAATAAAAATTAAAAACTTACAGTATCCCCATTTGGTAAAAAACGATTTGATTTTTTTGTGACAACTTATTTGAAAATCATAGCAGTCACTCATCCTAAAATTATCTGCTCAGAATAAATAAAAGAATTAATCACTTCCACCGAACTTAAAATTAATAAATAATATCTAAAAAAATACATACTGGCCCAAAATTTTTTAAAAAATATCTGATTCAAAGTGAAGATCGTACTGATAATAATTATCAATATTCCGACGACTATTCCGTAGCCATTAAGCTCAAGAATGGTAAAAACCGAGTCTTCTTTCTTCCACTCGATAATATTTTTGCAAACACAGTCGACGCACCCGCATGCAGTCGAATTCTTCGAGGAATAAACAGAAATATACAACAAAATTTATTTATGTTCGATAGAACATATCTACAAGGCAATTAATAAATTTATATTTTCGTACTTCGTAAGCTTCACTGCATGACTTGGTCGGCGAATTCAATGGCTCGGTTAAATTTTTCTCTTGATCTGGTTCATAGACATAAGTTATTTGAAAGCCGCCGAATAATTTAGACATTTCACCCATGAATGTATACCACCTGTATACAAAGTCATTTGTAATTACAAAGAAAAATCAGTTTTTATATTTTATACCTTTTTGGCGTACATCGACTCAGTCCATAATCTCCACAAGCCATATCAAACGCCGATCCACCGGTCGCTGGGAACAGTACTCCTCTACAAGAGTCGAAAGTCGCATTTATATATTCTTCTGATATATAAACCTATTTTTATTTTTTATAAAGTTATTTATGTTATTATATTATATTATATTTCTACATAGAAAAAAAAATTTACTTGAATCGGATAAATAAATTTTTTTGATTTAAAAAAAATAAAATTTTAAATAAAGAAATTTTTCTTAGTTTAAGTAAATTTTTCTTCTTGATTCAATAATTTTTTTTTTTTTTTTTTTTAATTTGTTTAAAGTCGCATAAACTACTAAGGTCATGAGCGACTACGGTAGGGAGTACACTTTTGAGATTGGAACTCGTTTGTATTTCTTGGGCTGAGCAGACTAATATACACTTAAATATTGAAAATATTCATTGGTGTACGCCGGATTCGAACCCGGTCCAATGCTTTGGTAGCAAGGGCCGGATCCGATAGGCTACTGCACGCTTAATTTTATTATTAATTAATAAATTATTGTAAAAATGTTTTCTTCTTAAATTATTGATGCAATTAAAAAAAAAATTTTGATAATTAATTCTATAACACTATTATTGTTTTCAAAATTTATTCCAAAAGTTTCATAACAATAATAATGTATGTTGTTATTAAGAATAGTAAAAAATCATTGAATCAAAGAATGTTAAATCATAAGTTTTAAATTTTCTGCAGTCATATTTTTTATTAATTAAATAAATTTATAAATTTTATATAATCATTAATGTGATTTTTAAAAATATTTTTTTCAGTTGTAATTTTTCTGAAAAACCAAAAAGTTACCAGACTTATTTATTAAATCCTACCTTCTGAATATATATGTGTAAAATTATTAATTATTAATATTTTTTTACATTTTTAAGAAAACAAATCTATGAAAATTAACCCCTAAAAATTTTCCAAAAGGAGACCAATGACAAAAAAAAAATTTCCTAATTTTATAAAAATGATAAATCCAACCAAAGTGCGATTTTTGATATCCGATTGTGACTGTGATCGTTAATTATGTTTTGTAATACGTTTATACCCGGTGGGATCAATGGTCCGTTCTTGTACGTTCAAAAGCTTGGTAACCGGAAGCGGAACTTGGTCGGGTAGCGGGTAACCGGGGGTTGATATAAAGAATATAAAGAAAATGAGAGAGAGATAGAGGTTACAAATCGATATTTCGTGCACGCTCGCTCTACTATACCCTACCTGAGAAAGTCGATATATTCAATGTACTTTCTGCATAAATACATGTATATATATTTGGTTCAGATACTTCCTTCGGTGTAACATCCTCTACTTAGCTATCGCATTTAGAAACTTTCGTGCTAAGCCTCGAAATTCCAACCGCACTACTGGTGATTAAAGATACGCCCAAATTAATGAGGGCCTATTCACATTCTCTCGAGACTTTTTATTTTACAGAACACCATTTTAAAAAGTACTAATCTAAATACCAACCGCAATCGGAGAACTGACAGGCTTTGACTGAGCAATTTGCTGGTTTTTTTTTCTTCCTCAGTCTTTCTTTTATTTCCGTATAATTAAATCCAGCGTTCACTTTACTCAAAAATCTTTTTTGTAATTTTGATTTCGATGCTAATGGGAAATGCAAAATACTACAAGAGGTCACGTTTTGTTGCTTATATTACTATTATTATCAGTATTATTATATCTACCCGAGGAGTTTCAATGAGCGTATGCATAACTTTATAATATATTATTGTAAAATTGCGTGGGATATCCTCAAGCATTTTTAAATGTAACTTTACCAGTTGCTTCAAATCTTGCACTACATTTTCTTTATCTTTTCATTTTTATCCACATGCATGTTTTTTTAAATTTACAATATTTATACTGCAACTCTCTAAAAAAAAAGTTTTTACATTTTCTATTATTTTTAGCCATTATAAAATTCAGTTCTTAATTTTTAACAACAGTTTTGATAAATTAATATCAAGTAGATATTTTTTTAATTTTTTACGATAAAAAAATTTAAAAATTGGTTTGAAAAGATTTCATCATTTTAAAAAATAGTTTTGATAAAATCTATTAAATTTTTTTTTAAATAAAAAAAAATTACTGCACTTATGATTATTAATTTTTTTGGTAAAAAATGAATTTTTGAAAAATTTTTCAAATGTCTTGTTTAATCCAATGAACTTGACAAAATTTTTTTAAAGAAGGTTTCAGAATTACACTCTTAGACAAAAAAAGTTGCAAAAGAATAAAATCGGGCATTAAATTCAACAATGTGAGTAGTGAAAAAATATATAGGTCTTCCTGGTTATAAAGATCTCGGGAATGAGATACTTGAAGTCTTTATATCTAGAAACATTTTCAATGGAGATAAATGATGTATGAGTGAAGATGATATGATCGTTAAAACGTAAATTCTCCTTTACACTTTAACTCATGTGTTATAATTATAATATAACATCATTTTTTTACCTTTTTTTTTTTACTTAAGATTTTTTTTCTCGTAGGCTCTCACTTTTTACTCCATACACATTTAACTTTGATACTTTTATCCCCTTGATTCTAACCCGAGAATTTATACGTCTTCGCACTGATGGGATAAAGCCCGGTGATACCGCTAAGAAAAATGAGCAAAATAGAATAGATCGATGAGATCACTCGGTAGATCTTTTAAAATAGATACAGAACACGGAAAATAATTTCTTCTTTCCGACCAATTCATCAGTTTCTTTTCAATTTTATCTTTCTATTAATAGAATCTGATTATTATATATTATTAATAATTAAAATTGTAGAATACAGTAATTTATAGTTTGTATATATATATAAATATAAAACACTTAAAACTTCGAGTAACTTTTCGGTTGTTTACCTGCAGATGTATTTTATTATTATCACTGCTATTCAGCTTCTGAACAACGAAAACAATAATAATAATAAATGCGTACACCACTTATAAGAAAAATTATACTCTATAACGAGGAAGAAGCTCAACAAGCTATACAACATGGTTTTATATCCAGAGATACTAACAATGCCAAGGAGTAGAGTTAAATTTTCCTGTCAAAAGTCATTCCAACTTTCTATTTATTACAACTTTTCATTCAATTATTATTATTACTATACTACTAGCATATTACTGTAGCATATACTATATCTGTTCAACTTCGGTCTAGAGTCGTATATTTTAATGAATTACATTTACTTAATAGGAATATTTAATTAATTATCCACATTAAAATAATTGCTATCTGTTTTTATTCAAACAAATTAATTATGTTTGCTAATAAAAGTTAAAGTAAGATTTTTAATATATACACTGTAAAAAATTTGCGGAGTGAACGCGGAGTGAATGAGGAGTGAATAATTTTTAATTGATTCACTCCCAGCGGGAGTGATATTTACTCCGAGAAGAAGTTAATTTTTATTAATAATAAAATTCACTCCGCATTCACACCCAAAATAAATGAATTTAGAAATTTTAATCATTATTATAATGTTTTTATTTTTTTATTTTATAAATTAATTGTAATTAAAAATTTTCAAAAAAAAAATATATATATATACATACTAGCGGACCCGACAGACGTTGCCATATACACACGTCTTAAATTAAGAAATTTTAGGAATGAGCTTGTATAGTTAAAAACATCATTAGTTAACAATATGCAATGGGCATTCTTCAATAATTAACATTTTCGTAAATATAAGCCCATTTTGATTTTATACTCATCAAGAGCTTTCACT